AGAGAGAGAGAGAGAGAGAGAGAGAGAGAGAGAGAGAGAGAGAGAGAGAGAGAGAGAGAGAGAGAGAGAGAGAGAGAGAGAGAGAGAGGTGATATTACCGTGATGAGCAATTTTGCGAGGATATGCGTCCTTGGCAGGCCTAAGGGGCCCCGGTTACCGTGGTGCCCGCCCTAAGTGAAGGCGGGCCTAACATTTCACAAGAGGCCTTTGACTGTCAATTTCATATTTGGGGTACAGGCAGTTGCAACGCGCCAGTTGGTTGAGAGAAACACAGGCCGAGCAACAAAGACATTTCCACGGCCTACCAGGCCTTGAGGAATTGGAGAAGGATGACGTGGCGCACAGGCACATGGCATCCTCAAGCACCGATCCATCCATCCGGTAAGTAGAGGAACGAACGGATCATCTGGTAGCACTCATCGGCAATCTGAACCACTTTCAATGGCTGGCGACCATCAGTCAACAAATGGCCGCAGTACGAGCTTACCTGTGTCAGCTGCAGTAGCAACCAACCGGGACCTGCAACAGCATGCCGCCCAGACGATCGGGAGCGCCGCGCCGCTCCGCTATCGACATGGGCCGGTTCGTGAGTTGGTGGCGCCTTGTCGGCACGGCTCCCTGTGAGGAATATCGAGGAGTCGATGTGGGCAATGGGGATTACGGCGACAGGCGATGAAGCGAGGTTCCGTTGGTTTTGTCTGGCGTGGTCATTGACGTGATGCTTCGGCTGAGGGTTCTTCCAGCCTTGATAACCGAGGCTGAAGAGGTCTCTTGCTCCGTGCTTCGTTTATGTGGTGTCGCGGGTTGACACGCTCGAGGAAGGGGAGGCTGTCGGGGTGATTAGGATAGTCTTCATGAGATCTTGGGCATGGTAGTGGCCCTGCTCCTATGCTCCTGCGCGAATCTAGTGGAGGTTGGTTGGGCAGAGCGGGCAGAAAGTGAGGAGCATCTTCTCATGCAGAGTGGGAGGAGGGAGGCTTGTTACAAGTTGGAGTGTCAAAAAGAGCTGGCAGTTTCAAACATTCGTTCGAGCTGGTTCACCGGTTAAAGACACGGAAGCAGGTAGCGGCGCAATACTGACATCGGCGATGGAGCAGGAGAATTGTGTGCGAACATGTGTGGCGCTCTTCGCGTCGGCTGCCTTTTCAAATTGATTTCGCTGATTTTAATTTTGTATCTTCTAATTTCCTATATTCTTGCTCTAATATAGTGCTTACACAGTTATAAATTCAGCTTCTCAAATTTGAAAAAATAAACTCACAATCTTATCCTCTTTTTCTGATCAGCCAAATTCTCATCTAAATGTACCCACGTACACGCGTATCCTTGAATTTCGACTATATCATGATTTTCTAATCTTGGAAGTTGGAACCCGAAAACTTCAGAATTCAACTACTATAGCTATAAATTTTGAAGACCCTCTTCAATAATTAGTTTTTTGCTTCTCTTAAATTGGTGATACGTGCACATGGTGCGAGCTGCCAAACGTTGATTGGCACAAGGGGCAGGGGAATAATTGTAATAGTCTTACTGCCGCCCTGCGCTTTCTTCAGTGGGTTGTTCTTAAAGATGTAGGGTGTTTTCGGGGGTGATTGCATATTTTTGAAGAGGCCCTGCTTTTCCAAATTGTGATCGACATTTTGGTAAGTGTGTCATCAATAACTGTAGTCGGCTGGATCGGATTGTTCCCGGAGGGCTGAACGGTAAGAAGGGGGTGGGGGGAGCTCTATCTTGCAGGGGCATCACAAGGTGGGGGGTGAATGTCTCAAACAGGGTAGGGGCGGAGTAGGGGGTTCCCTATTCTGGGCAAGGGCTGGTGTGTGGGTCAACATCAGTCCCAGTGGAGGCAGAAATGGGCAAGGGGCGGGGGGCCATGCTTTAGGGGGGAACTGCGTGCTCCTGGAGAAAAGGGGGTAGAGGGTTGGTCCTATATTGGGGCCGAGGGATAGTGGGTGCCTCGCCTCAGCGGAGGCAGTGTAGGGCTGAGGGGGAAGGGGGAGGGGGAGGGAGGGGTGATCTCTCTCGAAGAATTCTAACATCCAGTTTAGTATTTCTTTCCATTTGGTTTGCCTCTCGAGGAGGTTGTATGAATAGGTGCTATTTGGCAAGTCACTTGTGATCCTGCGAAGGGTGGTCAAATTCGGTGGCCTTCGAAGACCGATGCTAGAGCAACGCTGGCCGGAGCCGGAGCCAGGTGGAACAACTCTGTGACCTAGCTTAGTGGGGGCGTGAGGCCTGGTAGAGATATCTGGGGGGCTGTTTGCGGGGGCAGTCTCAGTGGTCATCGGGGGTCGTAACTAGAGCAATGCTGGCCGGTGCTGGAGCAAGGTGGTGCAACTCTGTGACCTAACCTGATGGGAGCATGAGGCCTGAAAGAGCTTCGGTTCGTGTTGAAAACAGCCATGCTGGTGGTGGTCGTAGGTGGATTGAATAGGTTTCTCCTATCTGATTCGTGGTTGGGAGGCTTTTTGACACACATATTCTAGTGACTTGGTAGAGTTTGAGTAGTGGACCATGAATGTTTCTGAGTTTTCCCTTTTCTTCAATTGTTCTTAGCCAAAGCCGAGTAATGGCCCCGCCCCGTTAGCTCATTTTTTTATTTTGATAAGGGACGTTGGGCCCGGTTCCCAGCCGTGTTGCTCCCCTTGAATAGATTGGAGCATCGTCTCAAAAAAAAAAAAAAGTGTGCCGCCCAGACTGTACAAGATACCGAAGTTCAGCATCGAGAAGTTTGATGACTACCACAAGCCGGACCCCTTGACTTCGTGGCAGGGTTTCACCAACGAGCTCTCCATTCACTTAGTCCCGCCAGAATCGAAGATCTTAGCTCTTTACTTTTGCAGCACCGGTGCCAGCCAGGTGTGGCTCGACCACCCGGCACAAACCGAAGGCGTCGAGGTCACAGCCCTCTACACCAAGTACACTTGGGAGGCCATGACCGAGAAGTGGCGGAAGCGCTTCATCGTTGACAACGCTCAAGGCAAAGGCGCGAACCGGATCTTCACCATGCACCAAGGCAGCCAGCCAACACGCGAATGGCTAACCGAGTGGCAGAAAATTGTGACGATCCCGAATCTGGATATACCATTCGTGCATCTTCGTCGCGAATTCTTCCAGCGGTTGGTTGACGCATGAGCACGGCCCTTGGGGAGCGCAGCTTGTACACAAACTTTGACCAGATCGTGGACAAGGCGCACAAAGTAATCCAATCAAATCGGTGGGCCGCCAACGAGCGGTGAACCCAACCAAAATTTGTGGAGAAGGGCAAAGGCCCGCGGACGCAGCAAGCCGCTGCTGTCCAATCAGATGGACAAGATGATGACCAGGCGCTGACTCACGAGTCTAGTGAAGGAGACGGAGTCAACGCCCTTTCGCCACGACGCAACAGCAAGAAGAAGATGGCGAAACCCGCGTCAACAATGGAAGTCGGACAGCCGAATGAGCCATGGAAGAAATTCCGCCTCACGGAGGAGCAATACAAGCTCCGCCAAAAGTTGAATTGTTGCTACTGGTGTAACAGCACCAAGCACACGACGTCACAACGCCCCGACAAAGGTAAAGAAGACATCCGCCCATGGCAAAGCTCGGGAAACTAAGTTCCACGAGAAGTGAGGCGACTCCACTTCCTACTCCATCGGACATGGTTGCCTTGCTAGCAACCTCCTCCACGTCCGGGGAACATGCGTATGTCGCAAGTTTTCAAGAAAGTTACGAAGACTATCCTGTCCTGCTGGTCCCTCCGTTGGACCAACCTCTCCACATGCAAGAGTCACATGCGTCCGCGACTTTATCACCATCACCAAGTGA